GTTGGATATAATTGAACAAACAATAAAGTCAATGTATTAGCAAATTTATTTTTTAGATCTAATTATAAAGAAAAAATAATAGATTAAGTAATATTTCATAAAAACTACAAATATATAAATAAAGTTATATAATTACATAATGGTTCAGAACTGTAATCACCATTCGCATCACCAACAACATATTCTCTCTTAAAAAATTCCATTAAAGTATAACGTATTTGAATAATTTGAGAAGAATCTAGTGTTGTAAATCTGATCAAAATAATCAAGATAGAAATGTTATTAATAAATAAATAGAATGAATATACGCATATATAAATATGCAGGTATAAATATAAATATATTGAAAATCTTTAAGATTAATAATTTTAATAATAATACCTATTTTGTAAAACATCATCTAAAACTTGTAAAGCAAAAACACGAGCCTCTGGAGTACTGAATATGAGAACAAAAGGACAAATAGGCAGATAGAAGGACACAATTGACCAAAATAATCAATCAATGGATAAAATAGATTTTTGAGCACACAGATATATAATATTAAAAGAGGATGATGAAAGGTGATTATGATGTTAATATAAAATAAGATATGATAAAATTTCACTAAACTCTAATTTTATTAATACTCAAAGTAAATAAATATTGATAATATGATTATTATTAAAAGTGGCTAAAATGAAATATACAATTGGAATTAAAGGAGGATGACAAAAAGAAAGACGACCATGATCATTGTTAAAAAATTTTGACACAAAACCTTTTTGGAATGCGTACAAACAATGAAAGGCACAATTTCCATCCATCTGGAGATACCCTGATCTGTTCACAAAAGTTCATTGCCTAAAATAAAAATTTAAAAAAAATTTTTTTTGAAAGCAATAATTGAAAGAGAATTGTTAAATGATTTCATTAAATTTTATTTATCTTAAACAAAAATATTCAAACAAAAAAAATTAAGGAGAATAAATGATGATAATATTGTCATTTCACTATTCAATATATAATTTGTTGATTTTCAATCAATTTATTATTTGTAGACTAACAAAATTAATTGATCTTTTGAGCCTTTAATAAAACTCAGCTGTTATGATTATTTGTATAATGAATAATTAAACTAATAAATTATTTACTATGAATAATCTTTATTTTTCCCAAAAGCATTTTTAGTAAGAATATAACCAACTAACCTGAATTTTCAGGCTTTGATCCATAGTTGGGTTTAATGCAAATGAAACGGTTTGTTCCAATTGTTC